GTGGTATACGTTGTTCTTGAATTTTTTCGTACATTTAGAATAAATTGTAGTACGAAAGTTTTTGATGAATCATGATTTATTCGTGAAAACGTCCGTACGCACATTTCACGAAACAATTTGTGCCTACGCATGTTTAGTGAGTGAGACCCAGTGTTTGCCGATCTGGTTTTGCTGAAACAATTTAAGACCATTATTATTTTGAAAGAAGTCTCTTTTTCTCACCCAGGCTGCATTTATTGGATAAAAATGTTAAAAACATTCATATTTCGAAATGTTATTATTTAAGATAACTGTTTTCTATTTTAATATATTTTAATATATAATTTATACCTGTGATGGTAAAGCTGATTTTTCAACAGCCATTATTTCAGACTTTGGTATTACATGATCTTTTAGAAATTATTTTAAAATGCTCATTTGATGTTCAAGAAACAATTATTTTGATTGTTGATAATATTGTCGTTCTGCATAATATTTTGTGAAATCGTAATACTTTCAGGATTTTTTGATGAATAAAAGGTTCAAAAGGATGGCATTTATTTTAAATATAATTTTTTTTGCAACATTATAAATGTCTTTACCATCACTTTTGATCAATTTATTGTGCCCTTGCTGAAAAAAATGAATAATTAAAAAATCTTACTTATCCCAGACAAAGGTAGTGTACATAATCATAACTAGAAATTATTCATAGGCTATTATGCAGTGTATGCACATATGTCTCGATAGTGTTGTCTTCACTTTTTTTTTTTACTTCAGGTGAAGCTTGCTGTCACCTAAAGTGCTATTTAGTTTTCCCCCCCGTTAGACTGTGAAACGAGCAGAGCAGAATGTGCCTTGCCATCTTTGATAAGGTATCATGTTGAGGCAGCCTCTCTGCGCAGGCTGAGATAAAACAAGCAGCGTGCAATCTGTGCAGTGGTTGCCTGTGAGAATGTTAATTCAGTCGCAACTTTTTTTTGTTTAATTTCCATATTTCTGAAGATTAACAAATATTTTGTCTATCCAAGCGTCTGTTCCTGGCCCTCATTGCACAATGATGTGCCCCCGTAGAAACGTAGGTGGATGGAAGAAACAGAGCAGATGCGTATGTGGAACGCTTGTAGTGTTTCCCGTCTGCCTTTATCTCTTTTTCTCTCTCTCGTTCTCTCGTACACACAGACTTTATTGCAGTTAATTATCACACATGACTATTTGTCTCTGCTTTCCAGCAATAGACTTGTGGGAAAATTTGAGCCCTTGACGGCACATGATTCGAAATTGCATCCCGTCGGACATGCTAGTATTAATGCCTTCAGCGCTCTGCTGGGACTGTCTTTAATGGGGGGGTTAGTGTTGTGATTAGGACGGAGGAAGCAGGCGTCGTCTCCCTTTGGGATTTGAGCTCCTTTATTAAAGAGCCCAGTAGAAGCCCCTATAGGAGTCGGCGAGCTGTATTTTTCCCGTATTGCAGGCCTGGTAGAGGGGGTAGTGTCTTATTGATCCTCTCAGCGTGTAACTGGCATTAGTGTGCTCGGTAGCCCCTTCCTGCTGTTTGCTTGCAGCTAGTATGACGCCTCTCTCTGGACCAGGTGTTTGCTTTAGTATTGCACAGGGACGAAAGAGACCCTCTTCTGTACACTCTCATGTGTAAATCTGCAACGGAGGTGCACTAAAGGGTTACTTAGCCAAGCAACACATTGTTTTCAAAGGCTCCATCCGCGCAGATTTCACGCTAGTTATAGCATGTACCGCAGTCATGGCAACAGCTGGGGAGAAGCACTCACCGTTGACATGGTTACAGGTCACCATTCCTCCAGGCAAGACAAGGGAAAGACATGGACAAAGGGATATTTCTACTCTGAGGAAAAACAAGGAGTTTTAGTTGTTGTCTAGGCACTAAAAATTGTGTAAAATTAATACTCCTAAATTATATTTCAGAATGTGTAATGTCGACTGAGATTAAAGTCTCTTACCAAGGCTGCAATTATTTCCGTAAAAATACAGTAAAAACAGTATTTAAATTTAAAATAACTGTTTTATGTTTTAATATATTTAAACATTTTATTCCTGTGATGGCAAAGCTGATTTTTCAGCTTTCACACAATCCTTCAGAAATCATTCTATGCTGATTTGGTGCCAAAGAATAATTTCTTATTATTAATAGTGTTGAAATGTAAAAGTTTGTACATTTATTAGGCTATATGTGGAGTCATGCATTATTAGTCATTCAAAACCTTCAGCATTAATGATAAATAGGATTTTACTTACTTTGGTCATTTTCTTATGTTGCTTAAGGGGAAGTCGTGGCCTAATGGTTAGAGAGTCGGACTCATAACCCAAGTTCGAGTGCGAGTTCGAGTCTCGTACCGACAGGGATTGTAGGTGGGGGGAGTGAATGTACAGCGCTCTCTTCCACCTTCAATACCACGACTGAGGTGCCCTTGAGCAAGGCACCGAACCCCCAACTGCTCCCTGGGCGTCACAGCATAAAAATGGCTGCCCACTGCTCCGGGTGTGTGTTCACGGTGTGTGTGTGTGTGTGTGTGTGTGTTCGTTCACTGCTGTGTGTGTGCACTTTGGATGGGATAAACGCAGAGCACTAATTCCAACAGCTCTGTTTTAATACATTTATTATAACATTCACACATAGTGTTCAAATTAGGATCTGTAATATTTTCTAATGTTTTAAAAGAAGTCTCTTCTCAGCAAGGCTGCTTTTAATTGTACAGTAAAAAAAAAAAAAATACATACCTGATTCAAGAAAGGGAGTCTGATGGCCACAAATTATTATTTTACTAACTTATTAATTTTAAGTTAAATTGTGCTTTGTTGGTATAGTGTCTGCTAGAATGTTAAAAATGTTCAGTGTTAAATATTTTTAAATTGTTGTTTTGTAATAGATTTTTTTTCTTTGAAAAGCAAGACAAAACAGTAAAAAGCTCATTTTGGCTTTTTAATTCCTGCAATGGTGAAAAAAAATGTGGCAAAATACATGGGGAAAAAACGTATTCGGCCTTCGGCCCAGTGTTTAATTTTGTTCGGTTTCGGCTTCGGCCAAGAATTTTCATTTCGGTGCATCCCTAATGTAAATGGAATAAAAGAAAATATTTTAATATATCTTTTCATCTTTAAAACAATTGCAAAAAAAATAAAAATTTGAGTGGCTCAGTGTAGTTGCAGACAAGGTCAGCTTCAGTGTGCAATGATTTGTCTTATTGGCAGCCCATGCTTGAATGGACAGAATAACCCATTTGAATGACCTGCACTGTCCGTCTCACTCTCACGCTTCAGGGTCTGTTGGCAAAAGGTCAACCCTGCCACGTAGCTTTACTGTCGCTTTCTGTTAGAAGCCATCTGAATCGGCACAGATCTTCGCTCTAGTTCACCTGTCTGCTGTTTCTGCCAGCACCAGAAAGATGTTATGTGACAGAGCCAAATGCACTGAGGGTACTCTGAGTTTCATTATTTGCGAATTCTATTCCCCTAAAACAAAGCAAAAGCTCATTTTAGCATTCCACCCATTTTAAACAGTGTCAGGATGTTGCCATCTGGATTATGTAGGGGGTAATATTTACAGCTGTACATCTTTAGGCAACACATTCATCTTAAATGATTCAATAGGAACAGCTCTCGAGTGAGACGGCAATTCTGCTGGTGTGTCGGGCTCTTAAAGAGATTGATGGAAGAACTGTGCAAGAAGCAGATTTAATAACCTACGGTTAAGCTGCCGTTATATTTTGTCTTTTACTTTTCATTTTGCAGAGAGCACAAGAGAACGTGGATCTGCAGGATGTGTCTTTCCTGTTAGTCCTGTTAGCTTTGGGTAGGACTGACAGAATGGCAGGAGGGGCCAAAGTGATTGAATGTAGCCATGGTTACTGTATGACTGTGTCGCCATGGTGATCCAGCCTCCTGACACGTTACATATGCAAGATTTAGGTTGCTCAGAAAATCCTTAAATGAATATTTCCCACAAGGTAAAATAACTAGGTGTTCCCCAAGGGTCAATTTTGGGTCATCTTATATTTACTGTCACTGTTAAATGTAATGCTCTTTGGGAAGTAGTTAAAATGTTGATATAATGTCAGATTAATTCATTTTAGTTTGAGGATGACCTTGATACTAGAATAGATATGTGGTGCCAAATGAGATTGAGAATATAATCTTTCGTAGAGTACAAACTGGGTTTTGTTTAGATTGATTCAGCAAGTAATCCCGATTTGAAGGAGACTTTATGGTTAGAGAAAAAAAAATTGGTGAGTGTTCATGTTTATCATTATTTAAAATGGGTCAAATTTAAATGTAAGTTATTAGGGAAATACACTTATTCATTGCAGCTTAAAATGGTTTAGTTTACAGAAGTGTTGCTTTGGTTAACAGATGGTAAGCATGCCATTTTTAATGGTCATCTACTAGGAATAGAAGCACCAGCTAGCATTAATATTAACAAAGTTGGAGACAAAAAGTTTTATTTATATTTACATTTTTTTATGAAAACAAATTGGCTTTTTTTTCTCCTGCTTTGTTCCAGTGAACAAAGCCTTTTGTTTTTTGTACTGATAATACAAATTCAGTAGACAATCTTAACACGTCAACAGACCACAGTGTTCTGCCACTGGATGAATCATGTAAACCAGCAGCACATGTGCGATCTCTCTGTCACAGCTGTCTGAAATGAGTTTTGGTTTAGTGCCCCTGAATCAGTACCAACTCTTCTGTCAAGTCAGCCCAGACTCCCTGGAGAGTAAAAAGAATGATGGACTGCTTGCTCTGTTCACATATCGTCTTTGTGTTGAAATCATGTAATTTCAGTCTCCATCACAAAGCGGTGCTGCCAATGTGGTGCTGCGCTTTGAACATTGAGCTTGTACCAATGTCCCAGGTAAAGGTAGAGGACAAAAGACAAGGAATTGTTGCAGGGTGTGCCAGAATTACATAATGCTATCATTTTGTCACTATTTGTTTATATTTTTGTTCTCTTTTGTTTTATTCCTCATTCTGGCGACATTGTCTATCAGTCGACATCGCAAACAATTCTGGTAAGTTTTTTTTATTTTTTGCACTCATTTTAATCTCTGTTGGATTTTTTGTTTTTATTTTTTGTATTTTTTGTACATTATTTTTTATTTGATTGTCACAATGTGCCCATTTTGGTTCTTTGTTCACACACTGCAGCTTTGTGAATGCAGTGGATTGGGGTAAAGGTGATATGAGAGTAAAACCTGGTGTGAAAACTCTTCCCTAAAGAGGATGTGTAGTGTACCACCTGCTTGATAAGTGAGCTTAAAAATACCTCCTGTACCACTACAGCTTTCCATCCCACCACTCACACTTTCACTCGGTTTGTTTCTTGTCTTTTATAACCTCCAACACCCTGGTGTGCATGCCTAGGAAAGCTTGTCACTGCATATTGTTATCATTATTTTGCAACTGAAGGACACAATTTAAAGTTTTCCAATTTCATCTAGATTGATTTTTCATTGTTTTGTGGATTTTCAGCTGTATGGTGAATGATCCATGCTTATCGCAGGAGACTGTGCGGGAACACATGGAGTTTGCGCATTGCACTTTGCTCACATCAATACATTGCTGTGATGGTTTATGACCGTGTGCCTTGTCGCATTTCATTGGAGATCTTTATGCAAATCTGATTTTCTTTGTGCCACCTGATCCTCATTTTGTTTGATTGTTTTCGATTGGCTTGTCGATTTTCTTTTTGTTGGCAGTTTGTTATTGAATGCAGAGTGCATGAATTACTTGATGTCTGTAAGTTAAGAATGTGATTAACTGCTCATTTGAACTGTTTAATATTTGTGTCATCAGACTTCCTTTTAATTTAATTTTAAATTCTCTTCTCATTTCATTTTTGTTGGCTTGAAACAAATATCAACCGCTGTCTTTAATTAGCACTCGTAACAAATACGATCCTCAAACAGTCATCAGAATGCAGGTGATATGAGTTTTTGAAACGATCACGCTGTGCTGAGGGAACTGTTGTTATACCCCGCTGTGTGCTGCGGTACACAGATATATGATGTTGAATACCTTAATTATTATGTATGTCAATTCTTAAACTCTGGATCATTCTCAGTAAAACAGTAAGACTTGCACAGGGTTGGATTGTCAGGCGGGTTTACAAGCCACAGAGCTGCAATGAAGTGTGACTTCTTTAAGGCAAAAGTCAGTCACAAGCCTTGTTCTTTCTAGAGGAGAGGAAACCTAGTATTAATTTTTTCCTCACAAACCAAGACCTCCCTTGGTCTCTAGGCAGCCCAATTTCAAGGCTACGCTAATACTTTTTAAAGAGACATAAAGAAGAAAAAGGTTCTTGGCACTGCTTTACAGAGGGGTGCTTTGTCATGGCTTTGTTGGATCTGTGTATATAACCGTTCAAAAGTTTGAGATCAGTACGATATTTTGAATGTTCTTAAGAGAATTATAGAATTTGTTTATGGTCACCAAGGCTGCATTTATTTGACCATATTTATAGTAAAACAGTAATATTGTGAAATATTATTACAATATAAAATAACTGCTTTCTGTTTTAATGTTTAAAATGTAATGTTCCTGTATAAAAGTAAAAAATTTTGAGCAAATTTTGAGCAATAGTGTATATCTTACAGTTTTGTCATAACGGTGTTTCCTCTTTTCTTTCTTGTAGTCTACTCCATTGCACCTGGCAGCCGGATACAACAGAGTCCGAATAGTTCAGCTTCTCCTGCAACATGGCGCTGATGTTCACGCTAAAGATAAAGGGTAGGTCTGCTTAAGTCTCCTTTTTTCCTTACTTTCCTGTTTGTTTTTTGTTTTTTTTTACATTGAAATAAATATGGTCTATATGAGCTAATTCAAGTTGTTTTCACTCTGGTAAAAGCTTTTGTTCATTAGCCTTCCATTGTCCATATAATACTTGAAGGAAAATCACATTTTGACTGTAAATGATTTTGTTTTTGTTTTTTTCCCCCCAGTGGTCTTGTTCCTCTACACAACGCCTGCTCATATGGACACTATGAGGTTACAGAGCTACTGCTAAAGGTAAGGACAAAATCCTGAATGGGTGTGCATGCATATTGTAGTGTGACCTATGTTTCCAGTTAAGCAGCTTGTCCTAACCCGGCACAATGCAATGAAGCAACCTTTAAATCTAAGCTTTGTCCTAACCTGTTGCAAGTCATTTTGTCAGTGACTTTGGTTTTTGTCTCGTCACACTGGACAGTCCTGTCCACAGTATATTGTCATTGATTCAAAATCCTGCTCCACTTACTACATATTTAAATTTTCCCATGCTACACAGTGTTTTCGGTATCATTGTGGACAGAATAATTACACTTGAGGTTTTTTTTTGTATTATTTATATACTATTATAGGTGTTATGATTATTTTGAATTAGCTTTTTGATTTTTTTTTTTTTTTTTTTATATATTTAGTTTTCATTTGAATTTTTGTTTCAATTTAAACTGAAACATATTTATTCTCCACTGTAGATGCAAGTATATATGTGGTTCTGAAAAGTATACATACAAGAATAGTAAATAACAGTACACAAAATAATTATAATAACAATAAACATTTACAACCATATTAAGCAGTTACAAGGCATTGAAGTATTTCTAGGATTAACTATAGTCACTATATAATCGCAATAATCAACATTATGTACAGTCTTGCTCCGAGCGGGACTCAAACTCGCAGCCGTAATGTCATTAGCGCCATCGCGATCGTGGTACACAAGCATATAGTATTGCCGTTAATATCTTCAGTCCGTGACTAACTTCACCCAGAAGCAACAATATACAAATGTTTTAACAATAAAGATGGAATCATTTAAAATTACTTTTTGCTGCACACACAAACCAGAAATAAACTTTGTGGATGACACTCCGCACTAAACGTCCAGACGCACTTCTTTTTCTTTCTAGCGGAACTACTTACAGATGACGCTAAAGCTGTACTGATTTGTAGTTTAAGCTGTCAACTAAAAAGCCCACCAATGACATTCACTGTCCATTGTTGGTTACCAGAGTCCTTCATAACACATGGCTTGGGTTACTTTATCTCACAGCTCAATAAGAAAGTGACTAATTCAATGTACGTCCTACATTTCTGCATATACAGCTTCATTCTGCATGTCTTCTCAGAGTGCATTCTGTCTCAGTGCAAACACAAGCTCTCCCTTGATACTGAAGTTCCACAGAGTATGGCCTTTAAGCCCAGCTTCCTTTACTTACAAAGCTGATATATGGAACACTATGCTCACGGTGTGCTCTCCCATGCTCGCTGTGTTAACAGAGCCCTGCGGAGTGGCCAATCTGTCTCTACAACAATGTTTGGAGTTTGATACACAGCAGAACAGAGTGTTCTTGGCCTCAGGAGAGCTTATCACAATACCAGTAGCTCCCCAGATCTCCTTAAGATCATTATATTCGATTAAATGTGCTGTGCAATGATCAACAAGACAATTAAGAATCCTCTTATCAGCACAGATCCATTGTCAACACCTGACGTTATCTTGATGTACCTGAGTTCCTCAGGAGCTTTTGTTTCATTCCTCTCACTTGCAGCTCAAAAGAAGAAAATAATTTTCCATACAATTAAAGTAGATGGTGACCAGGGTCTGTCAAGCTCTAAAAAAGCAGTCAAATTGGTTCATACAACTTGTGTATTAAATTTGAAAGAGTTAAGAAAATAATTTTTAGGAGATCTATCCCTTTAATCATTTTGTACTGTTTACCCCCTGCCTCCGAGTGCAAGTTGATGTCTCAGTCATTTTCTAAAAATGTGTTCGATATTCTTTTCCCTCAGTGCTATTAACTCGGCTTCTGGGGCATGGCGGACTCCCTAATAGATAGAAATTCATAATCTATGCTAAAACTGCTCTAACTGCTCAAGTGGAACCGCATAATGTTCTCAGTGTATTTGAAAATGAATCTTGGCCGTCAGAGTTGGTGCCATCCTTTCCGTGTGATCTCACCCTGAATGTTTTTCTGTAGCATGGGGCGTGTGTTAATGCCATGGACCTCTGGCAGTTCACCCCTTTGCATGAGGCTGCCTCCAAGAATCGTGTGGAGGTGTGTTCCCTGCTGCTGAGTCACGGAGCTGATCCCACGCTGGTCAACTGCCACGGGAAGAGCGCGGTGGACATGGCCCCGACCCCAGAACTCAAAGAGAGGCTCACATGTGAGTTTACCTTCTTACCATCTTTAATTAGACTTCTGTTCAAAAGTTTGGGGTCAGTTAGATTTTGAATGTTTTTGAAAGAATATTCTTATATTCGCCAACACTGTAATCTGTATTTATCATGCAAAAGTAGTATCTGGTCAAAAATCTGTCAGAAAACTCAAAAACAATAATACTGTGCAATAATATTAAAATTTTAAATAACTGCTTTGAATTTTAATATATTTTAAAATTGTATCGATTTCTTATGCAGTTTATTGAAATTTCAGCAGTCATTACTAGTTTTAGTGTCACACGATCCTTCAGAAATCATTTTAATATGCTGATTTGGTGCTCAAGAAACATTTCTTATCACAGCTGAAAATATATTTTTTTCCTTAAAGTGTGGAAACTTTTAAAAGATCATAAATGTCTTGATTAATTGAATGTGTCCTTGCTTAAAGGGTTAGTTCACCCAAAAATGAAATTAGGCTGCGTTTTACTCACCCCCGAGGCATCCTAGGTGTATATGACTTTCTTCTTTCAGACGAATCCAGTCGGAGTTATATAAAAAATTGTCTAACATCTTTCAAGCTCTATCTTTGCAGTCAGCGGGTGTTGCATTGCTTCAGTCCAAAAGAAGTTTTTAAAACGTAATAATCAATTTAATCTAGCTTGTGATCACTGTTGTAAACGGAAGCAGTTCCGGGGGAATGACGTATGAGGTCAACTTTGCGCATGCGCAGCTCAGAAGTGACGCACGCGGAAGCGCAGGGAATCCTCCCAGAGCTGCTTCTGTGTACAACTGCTGGCGCAAGCTAGATTAAAGTGATTATTACGTTTTGAATATGGATATTTTTCTTACAAAAACGCATCGAGGCCTTTGTTCACCCCCCGGAGCCATGTGAGACACTTTTTTTTATGCATGGGTGCTTTTTATTTAACAACTTTTGGACTGATGCACTGCAACACCCACTGACTGCAATGATAGAGCTTGAAAGATCAAAGACAATTTTTAATATAACTCCGACTGGATTCGTCTGAAATAAGAAAGTCATATACACCTAGGATGCCTCGGGGGTGAGTAAAACGCAGCCTAATTTTCATTTTTGGGTGAACTAACCGTTTAATGAAAGTATCAATTTCATAATTATAAAAAAAAGTCATTCTTTATGTAAGTATATTTGTAAAACAGTGTTGTTGTTGTTTACTAAATCTATTAAAAATTGTTTTTGTTAAATAAAATAAAGTTAAAATAAAATATAAATATTAGATCAAAAACTCAAAAAGCCTAAATTAGAAATATTACCTTTGCAACTTACTAAAATTAAGATTAAGTTGAAGTACTGAAACTACAAATTAAAATAAATTAAAGCTAAATATAAATATAAAAATAAAAAATAAAAAACGAATGAAATTGACAGACGCACATAAAATTCCATCTGCATTGGAATTCTAAAAGTATTAAGTGTAATTATAAATAAATTATATAAAGAAATATATATATATATATATATATATATATATGGCTAAAGTCTGTTATTAGGCACGACACGCCTTGATGCAACTTTTTTTTTGTCGTCATTATATTAACAATATAGCATATATGGCCTTTCACCTTTCATAAAACAGACTCATTCCTTATTGCTTAAGAGTAAATTAAAGACAACAGACAAGGATCTTTCATCGTTGCTCAGCATAAGTGGCATCAAAGTCCGCAAAACTCATCCTACTCGTTCGCCTTGCAAGTGTAAGTGAGCTGGACGCAACTTGGCTCTGATTGTTCCTGCCACCTTCTCACTGGCACCGAGAATGACACATCAAGGTTTAGAGAAAGCCGCCTTTAAACATACAATATTCTCGTTCTGCATTATTCAAGTGCAGTGGAGACTGAGCTCCAGTCTGCTGATGAGGTTGGCAGGCGACGTCGTTATATATTTTGCCTGTGAATTCTCTATCTGGCTTCTCCCAGTGTGGGGTGGAGTGATGCAGTTTTGACTGAAACTTTACACAATTTGCTATGTAAAGATTTTCCTTTATCTGGAATTTGTGTTTGAGCTTGTGCTGCGAGTATTTTACGATGCAAAGTAGAACAAGCAAATGTTGTAATATTCCTCCTTTGTAAGTCACTTATGATAGTGTCTGGTAAATTAAAAATATAATAAAAATGAATAAAAATATATAACAATTATAATATTTATATAATATAACTATAATATTTCTTGTAATTACAAAAAAGATAATATACTTAATAAATTAATAAAGTGCAGTATTTAGTTCTCAGTTCTCCATCCTTATTATTAATGGGTCAAGCTGTGATCCAAGAGTGCTAATATTTAATATACCAGTTAAATATTATCTTCTATACTTTTAATACTACTTTTAACTGTTGCATTGTTTTTGAGATATGCAAAGTTGGATGCTTTGACTTCTTTTAAAACAATTTTTATTGACTAAGAAAAATTATACAAATGAACTTTAGTTATAAATTTGTCTAATACTACTCAATATTAATTTATTGATTTATAAAACTTGCATAAAAGCAAATTTAAAATTATGATACTATTTTTGCTGATTTGTGTTAAAAAATCAGCACATTACAAAATAAATTGAATTGTTTTAACCGTTTTAAATACTTCAAGGTAGTACAGTATGAAAATAGATATAATCATTTTGAAATTTGCTAAAGATTGCATTTAACAGTGTTTTTACAGAATAACTGTTGGCAAATGATGGCAAAGATCATCCAATTGTTGCAACTGCAATGTTTTGCTAAATATCAGCATGACTGGGATTACCTTTGGCCGAATCCCAGCTGTGCTCATTCAGTAAAACGGCTCTCATGTAGATGGAATAATGTTCCATGCTTTGCCGTTCTTATGAGCAGAAGCATAACAAATTGAATGTGCAAAATTCATTCGATCAGGTCAAACGATTCAGTCATACATTTTAGATATCTTAACTCATATTTTTGCTGCCATAAAGCCAGATTGCATTGTAGCTGTGAAGCCTCAGTTACTTTTTTCACACTATGTCTTGATGAATTATGTCTACCACTGGCTTCTGTCAGAGCGTCTTGAATCACCTCTCTAAATATTATTTTTTCCTCTGGTGCAGACGAGTTTAAGGGCAACTCTCTTCTTCAGGCGGCACGGGAAGCAGACATGACCAAGGTAAAGAAGACCCTAGCTTTGGAGATCATCAACTTCAAGCACCCACAGACGCATGAGACGGCACTGGTGAGCCCCTGCTGATTCACTTCAAAGCTCACCAGCTGAGATATCAGGTTTAAGTGCAGATGTTGAAGGGATAGTCCAAAAATGAAAATCCTGTTATCATTTACTCACCTTCATGTCATTCCAAACCTGTATGATTTCATTTTTTTCTTCCTAAAACCACAATAGGAGATATATAGGCAGGATGTCCACACCGCTCTGTTCCATGCAATGAAAGTGAATGGTGACCCAAATGGTGCCAAAATGTTACCAAAAAGACAGAATTTGTGGTAAACCGTGACACTTACAAGGCCTCTATCCTGTGTTTTTAGCACTGTGCTGTCGCCTCACCTCACCCAAAACGAAAACAGGTCACTGAACTGCTACTACGGAAAGGAGCCAATGTCAATGAGAAGAACAAAGAGTGAGTGAATGGGTCTGTGATGTGTTTATCAAATGCCAAATGTTTATCCCCTTAAGGTCTGTCTGGCCTACTTATTATCTTCTCTGTTATCTTGTCCTTCTTCCCTGTGCAGCTTCATGATGCCTCTCCATGTGGCAGCAGAACGGGCGCACAATGACATCATGGAGGTTCTGCAGAAACACGGGGCGAAGGTACACAGCTGCTCCTGTGTCAGCAGACGCCACATACCTGCATGTGACTACAGAGCCGCAACACACACACACACATTTACACACCTGACACCTCGCATCACCATCCAACTCTCACAGTATAGTCTGCCTTAAAGGGATAGTTCACCAAAGCATTTTCAACATTTATTCACCCTCATGACATTGCAAACCTGGAAGCTGTTTTTTTTTTTTTTTTGTGGGAAGAAAGAATATTTTTTTGGGAGATATTCTCTTGCCATATAACAACAGCTCAGGTCAGAGAGAGGGAGGAAATTGGTCATTTAAAAATAGATTATGATTGTTTTGGTGCAAGAGCCATTGACTGACATAAGTAGTCTTCTGGGGAAAAAATAAAGCACTACAAGTGTAGAATATGGCCCCTCTACAGAACCACAGCATCTTTTTTGTCTGTTCTCACCTGAGCCAAGAAAAATCAGTTCAGTGGAGCAGCATTTTTGTCACATCTACTGTTGTGTGCAGTTGAGTCATCACGTTCCTGCTGTAAGAGGAGAAGAATGAAGAATGAGCCCATTGCACTCTACTTTTATTATTATTATTATTATTATTATTTATTTATTTTTTTTGTCAGAGTAATTTGCCTGCTTATCAGTGGTTCAGATAATTGGCTTTGAGATGGAAGAGCTCATCATCAGTATGGAAGTGTTTATATGCTAACATCTTCCCAATTAACTGCCAAACATTCATCACTCCATTCACAAAGATACTTTAGCAGATTGGTCTCTCACTTGAAATCTGATCACTAGAGTTGGGAATCATGAACTTATTCTGATTTATCTGTAACATTTGCATTCTTCCACTAATGCAGATGGACCTGCATAAAAGACACATCAATTATGCAATACATCAGAGCAAACTTGGCAAGCAATTCATGCTTTTTGTCACATATGCACAAGAATGAAAACTTAAATTGCATGATTTATTGTTTCCCATGATTAATAGTATGGTGCTTCTGTGTGTGGAATGGAATGACGCCTTTTTGCTAGATGAAATACATTTGAAAATATGAAATAAGTTCTAAGCTCTTTTGGGAATTGCATTGCCTAATACAATTTTGATTCTTATTTGTTTTTCTGTTGCAGTCTGAAATGACCTTATTTCACAACAGGCTGCTGGGGAATTTCAATGTATTCTAAATATACTGTATGCTACCGTTTAAAAGTTTGGGTTCAGTAAGATAATTTTTTTATTCAGCAAGAATGGGTTAAATTGAACAGAAGTAACAGTAAAGACATTCATAATGCTACAAAAGAATACTGTACTTTTGAACTTTCTATTCATAAAAGAATAATGAAAAAATAGATAATGGTTTCCACAAAAATATTAAGCAGCACTACTGTTTTCAGCTGTGATAAGAAATGTTTCTTAAGCATCAAATCAGCATATTAGAATGATTTCTGAAGTATCATGTGACACTGAAGACTGGAGTAACTGCTTAAAATTCAGCTTTACTAACAGGAATAAATTGCTTTAAAAATATATTTATATATAAATAAATATTGTTATTCTTTTTTTTTTTTTTTTACTGTATTTATTTGTGTTCATCCTCAGTGTTTAAAACTCTGTGGTTCTGTTTCTGTACTACTTTTAAAAAAAATAATTCTGACACATTTAGTGGTTGTGTCAAAGTTTTCTAGTGAAAGTGAATAGGTAAATAGCCTGCCGCCTCGGTCTCACAGCTGGACTGTGTTAGAGAAACTGGAGGACGTCTACGAGCTACATCAGTCATGTCATTACCTCTCCAGAGCAGAGAGGGGTAAAAGACTTCCAAATCAATGGAGCCCTTTCAGAGAGCCAAATCAGATAAGCATCGACTAACTGATCAGGCATTCAGCTACCGCCTTGGTTGAGAGCATCGCGGCTGATCAGCTATTCTTCAGCGGAGAGACCAGGGGAGCCGATACTCCTGGAAATAATCTCATCCACAGTCTGCTGTCTTTGTTCGAGCCAAGAGTGTATCTAAAGGGCCTCCCCGTTCATCAAACTTCCGTGTCCTACTTTCACGCAAGGTTGTATTATCCAGAGGTCCTCTTCATTGATGCTGTGTGGCTCTTTTATGCTGCCTGGAGCAGCTTGATTTTCAAAGCTGACTTCCCTTGTGCTCGCATCCCAGCTCTTCTGCATGATAAATAAACGGAGGCTGACCCTCCATAACCTGAATTCCATCATTCAGTCATCAGTGTCCATCTGTTGCAGTACGACCCCGCGGAAACGCATCCGATCGTTAACTGGTGTTGCAACCCAGCTCACTGCCAAACTGCAGCGGCCAGACTTAAGTGACATTAATGGACTGGATAAATAGTCAGGCTGGAGGTTCAAAGACAAGAGGCTATTGTAGCTAGCGTGTGTTTACAGACCATGTGTGAATCAGTAAACAGATGGTGCGGAAGCTTCGAGTTAATAAGAAGAGCAGGAAGCATGAAGAATAAAGCTGTCTAAAGCAAACACAGTTACTGAGGAAATCAGCTGATGGTGGGAGATGCTTATTAGCTGAAGATCTAGATTGATATGTGTAGCTTTGTTCATACAGGCAGGAAAGTATGTTTTTGGTATAGACTGTAAGACTGAAATCTGTTTAGTAGTTTGTTGGCCCAAAATTCACATTTCACCTGCTTTGTTTTGTAAGATTTTTAAAAGAAGTCTCTTTTGCTTACCATGGCTGCATTTATTTGCTCAAGAATGCAGTATTATTGTGAAATGTTATTGCAATTTAAAATAATTGTTTTCTATTTTAATATATTTTAAAATGCAATTTATTCCTGTGATAAAAAGCTGGATTTTCAGCATCATTACTCCAGTCTTCAGTGTCACATGATCCTTGAGAAATCATTCTAATATGCTGATTTGCTGCTCAAGAATAATTTCTTATTATTATCTATGTTGAAATGTTGGAAACAGTTGTGCTGCTTAATATTTTTGTGTAAACTGTGATACTTTTTTTTTCAGGATTCTTTGAATAAAAAGTTCAAAAGAACAGCATTTATTTGAAACAGAAATATTTTGTAACGTTATTATTGTCTTCACTGTCACAGTTTAATGGATCCTTGCTCAAATAAAAGCATGAAAGTAAAATCTTACTAACTCCATACTTTTGAACAGTAATGAAGTTTAAAATTTAAATTCAGAATCAGATTTTTGTATTTCAGTCAGTCATATTTGGATTACATCATTTTTCCATTATTTGCAACTCTGTATGTAATCATAATCATGTGATCATAAATGTATATATAGTACGGATGCTGAAACATTTATACCATGGAACATTTTCATCCAAAAATGCAATAAAATGCTGTTTTCAGTCAAAAGAGCCAATTTTGGCCAAAAATATGAGCAAAAACCAGAACTTTAACAGATGTAATTGTAATGTGAACCCCATGGAGAGGACAAAATGCAAGGCTATGTGAAATCATGCAAGCATAAGTTATTTTCAAAGAACATTTTTAACTTTCTACGTACTGTAAGCATCTATTCACCAATGAGACTTCATTTTCAGTTTTTCTCAAAATTAATGTTCATGCATTATTATCAGTCACACATTTATTTTAAAACAAATCAGAATTGGTTGCAGTGTGAACAAAGGCATTGTGTGCTTTATATGGAGAACTGGAACACATACATTTCGCACTTTCAGTAAAATACGATTTTGCTGAGAGTTTGAGTTTTTAAAAAGTAACAAGTTTGAGACAGAATAATGAACTGTAATCATACCATACGCTAAACCACACGCAGACATTACACAGTAGGACCCTTTCTTTCTTCACTGTGCAGTGTTGATAGTCTTTGAATGAGTGTAGAAGTTTCCCAGGGGCTTGTCTGATTAATTCATATTTGTGTTCATTTCAAAAGAGGCCAAGTTTGCTTACAGCTCAGTCTTGCTCTGTGGGCTGCGTTCAGATGTGCTCTTCACTGATCAGTGAGGAGGAGGAGATTCCAATCTGCTCACTTTCTTTCCATCCTTTCTTGTGTTTGTTTATAGATGAATGCTGTTGACACGCTGGGTCAGACTGCATTACACCGGGCGGCTCTGGCTGGACACTTGCAGACATGCAGGATACTTTTGAGTTATGGAGCCGACCCCGCCATCGTCTCCCTGCAGGGCTTCACAGCCGCACAGATGGGCAATGAAGCTGTACAGCAGATCCTAAATGGTACGGACTGAATCTGGGGTTTGGGATTGTTTATTTGGGCTTTGAAGTTCTGTATCTTAATGCATTAACAGTTATGGAAATTCACGTTAATGTATGCTTGTGTCTGTTAGAAAACATTCCAGTGAGGAACTCAGATGTGGATTATAGACTATTAGAAGCAGCAAAAGCAGGAGACTTGGACACTGTGAAGGTGAGAGGCGCCTTAATTTGGTTTCAAATAGAGATGGACAGGATAGTTGTTCAACAGCCAACCAAGGGTTAAAAAAGGTTTTGGAGGTGAGGGAAGCTTAAAAATCTGTGGTGATCTGGTGGAGCCGAGATATAACATGAAACTCTTTGGCCACAATTTTTTTTTTGTAAGAAACTTTAATTCATTTTAGATACTTTGTAATAACCTTTACAACTGTTTTCATTAGTGTAGTGCTACAAAGCAGCTCCAGGTTACATGGAGATGAAAATATATCTGCGGTTATGGATATTGAATTTTTTTATAGGTTTTTGTCTGGAACAAAAATACCCCAAAATGAGTTTAGTTTCTTTATTCCAGACAGATAAACTTTTCAAGGACACAGCTTGCAGCTCTTAGATGTGTTTTGTTCCATACTTATGACCTTTTTATTTTTATTTTTTTTGAGAGAGCGTGAGAAGAAAATTGTATTATACTTGCTGAATACTTTTATTCAGCAATGGCACATTAAATTGTTCAAAAGTCACAGTAAAGACAGTTTAAAATGTTACGAAAGATTTTTATTTCAAATAAATACTGTTCTTTTTCTATTTGTATGATTTCTGAAGGATCATGCGACACTAAAGGCTGGAATAATGGCTGCAGAAAATTCAGCTCTGCTGTCAGGGATAAATTACATTTTAAGATATAAAACAGTTAAAATAGAAACAGCTATTTTAAATTGTAATACTATTTCACAATAGGGCGGGGCGATATAGCTAAAAATGTATCAACGATATAATGTTTCATATCGTTCGGTATCGATAATTATTGACATTTTTTATAACCTTTTTTAAAACCGAGCAATAGAAAAAAATGTTTACATTTTACCACTGTATTTTTAAATTAACTCAATTTATTGAGACAAACAACAAATATTTTTTTTGTTTTAACAGTCAACAAATAATAAAAAAATTCAACAAATATCTAATTTCTAATGTTTTACATGCAGATTAAATAGGTTAAACTTTTGGCTTGTCTCCCGAGGCCACAGGAGGGCTCAATGAGCAAAATAATGCAGCACATTAAATTGTCAACGCAAGGAAGTAACTGTCTATAAAAAAAAAACGTGCATTACGTCTAAATGAACTCATATATATCAAATATAATTTCGTAAATTGCATAAACAATTATGAACAAAACAGCATCACGTATTTATGCATTGCTTAATACAAAGAGCCGAATCGCCATTCACACAGATTGCCTTTAAAAACATATGAGACGCAGTGAAAAGGAAAAAACCTCCACAAAAATGCGCAACGTTTTTCTAAAAGTTTAAACTATTTTAACTTTGCATGGCTGTCTACATCTCTTGTGTGAGACGCGAGTGCAGCAGTCGTATTTGTCCGTCTAGAAAATGGACTGAATATGCGTTCTGTGTGAATGGCTTGGTTTCGGTTTTAACCTAATCAAGATCTTCCCCGCATTGAGCTTCTATATTTCTCTAATATTTTGAATGAATAACGCAGCAACTGCGCGTCTCGTGGGCTAGACTAACAAAACATTAAACTACAACGTCACTTACATCATCATCACCGCATCTCGTGCTCCACTGATGACGCTCCCTGATGCACATCTAACATTGGATTGTACTATTTTTGCATTTAAATGCAAATGTTTATTTTAAATTCAACTAATATTCATTCTTTACTCACAAGCTCTTCATCACAGGCAGGCACAGCACTCATGTTCGTGTTTGTGTGTGCTGTCTGCGTCACTCATAGCACGTGCCTATATCGTGCACTATATCGAACATGTTTTATATCGTTATCGAAGAAGGTGTACCGTTGATAAATATCGATATCGTTTTATCGCCCAGGCCTATTTCACAATATTGCTTTTTTACTGTATTTTGTATCTAATAATTGCAGTCTTGGTGAGCATAAGAGACTTCTTTCAAAAACATCAAAAATCTTTTTGAACTGTAGTGTATATATTATTAATATTGCAAAATTATTATTAATTAGAATTAATGTTATTAAAGTTACAAATTATTTTTAATGTAAATACTATTTGTGTTAGTCTGCAAAACTGGTTTGAATAATTTATGCACAAGTCTTTAGATCAAAAGCTTTATAACCTTAAACCTTTTGACTAGGGATGTAACGATTCACTCACAATTCAATACGTTTTACGATTTTGATTTCACGATTCAGCAGACGAGTTGAATGAGACGCAGATTCACTCTCTGCCAGCAGGTGGCGCTTAAAGCGTTTTCTTGGTTTCCACTGTAAACAAAGCAGCGCTGCACTTATGAACTTATGCAGGGCTCCAGACTGCGATAATTTTTTCTGCCTGTGCGACTAAATTTTGTGTGCGGTCGAACTGGTGTGACCACCGTGTTGGTCAACTCATAAGCGCTTCAGTTTCTGTTGCATGTATTTTAAAACATCAATCACTTTCTTAATAACTTATATATATATATATATATATATATATATATTTATAACTGTATTTATATATAACATATTTATGTTTAGTGAAATCTCTCATCCTCTGAGGATTGAATGATTGAGTAATGATCATTTCATGTATAAATGTTCAGAAAGATCATAGATGAGGTTTTTAAACTGTGCTAAGTCAGCCTTTGGGCTTCTCTGTGGATCTGCGCTCAATGTCTTTATCTCTTTCAGCATGGAGCAGACCCCACCAAGAAGAATCGGGATGGAAACACGCCATTGGACATGGTGAAGGAGGGAGACACAGATATCCAGGACTTGCTGAGAGGAGATGCAGCGCTTTTGGATGCCGCCAAAAAAGGCTGCCTGGCCCGGGTCCAGAAACTGTGCAGCTTGGAGAACATCAACTGCAGAGACACACAGGGACGCAACTCGACTCCGCTGCACCTGGCAGGTAATGAAAAATCATTCTGCGGCATTCCGAGCCATCGCTTTCAACATAGAAATGAGAGCACTTCTCCCTTTGAAATGGAAAAATCAAGCTGTACCACCATCCAGAGAACTGCGTTTCTACAAAAGCATTGAAGCAGTGTTGTGAGATATCATCCCACCCCAGAGGCGAGGCAAAGAAATCCAGAAGGAAAGAAAGGGGGACATGTTGAATTAAATCTTGGCTCTCATCCCTTTCTGAGCACTGTGTAAGCCTGGCTTCCAGGCGGGGATTCAAAGGCTTCCTTGCCAAATATTAAATCTGTCTAAGACTTCCACACAGTTCATACCGTCACCGACATTTACATGCACAACAATATTCTCCGTATGGCTCATGTCCCCGATAAAGTCTTATTCAGAATAATGTCTTTATGCGAGCCTTCCCCCATCTTATTCATGGGTGTTCTTGTATTCGTGAGAATATAATATTTCGGAATATAAATGTTTTCTGGAGTCGTCCACGTGCATTGGTTGTTCTGTGATTTTTAGAACACATTTTTTGTAGCTATGAAAAAAAAACTCAATCAAGTCAACTTTATTTATATAGCGTTTTAAACAATACAGTTTGTTTCAAAGCAGCTTCACTATAATAAACAGGGAGGTAGCAGAATCATTAATGCAAACTTCTTCAAATAAAAGACACATTCAAATTCTGCTGTAAAGCAGCTCTAAAAATACTGTATCGTAAAAATACAATAGTATCATTATTCAGCTCAAGTCAGTTCAGTGTTTGTTCAGATTTGGTTCAATACTGTGTAAAGTTAAATTATGAAACTTGTTCAATTCAGCTATAAGCAGCTCTACAGAAGACAGTAGCAATGAATATCTTATCCATGACTTTTTTCAGAAGTTTTAAATAGTAATTTTAATATGTAATATTTAATAGTATAGAATATGTCGGAGCCAAAGCTGAGCTGCTTTTTGATAATAATAATAATAATAACTACAACTATTATTATTATTATATTGTCATTGCTATTTTATAATAAACGTAAAGTTGCAGCTGTAATGTTTGAAGCACATGACTATCATAATAATATACAATTGTAGCTGGATTTTTCTTAATAATCATTTGGTTTATAACTACAATGACAATGATGATAATAATAATTGTTGTTATTCTGTAATAAACATTATACAATTGCATCTGGAATGTTTGAGAGGACATGACTAAATACGAAAGAGTAAAATATTGCAGCTGGATTTTTACAAGCATGGCAATTTGTTTCAAATATATTACTATTAATAAGGATAATTCAGTTTATAACTATAATTGCGAACTAAAAAGAATTACCCAGAAGCCTAAGGGTGTTAAATAGATTTGAGTTCAGAGAAGGAGAACACTGCTCCAGGATCATCATTTGCACAACACTCCAGCTGTGCCAGTGACTCATACTGCGTGCTGAACAGCACAGATCAGCAAATGTCACTGAACAGATGGAGTGAGCGCGCTGGTCATTCCACTTATCTTGCTAGGCCTGGCCAGCAGCAGGTGGGTGACGGCCCTTACCATCAGGCAAAGATATAGACACATGATTTTACTCCAGCTAGCACACATTCGCTATTTCCACTGGAGAGCAATGGGCTGTGACTAACGTGGTGGTTGTGACCCCTGCTTAGAGAACATGCCACTCGTCTGCTGTTTGCCTGTGGGGAGAATTGTAAGACAAATTAATTTGTTCTGACTGACGTTACAGGATCTCATGCATTACAATCCTGATGCTTTGTCTAGCAATTTTTTTAATGACTGGTAAGTCATTTTTAAGGCTGCTTGGGGGGGACTGAGGTTAAATCCAGGGGCCGATGCCCCCTGATTCAGCAGTGTCTGCCCACCAATCAAATATATTTGTTTTTATGTATTTTTATTTGTAATTAATCCATTTTATGATGAAATAACACTTAAATATAAGTGCATTTATCCACAAAAACAAATATGTGTAGTAATTACCTCATTCAGAAATGCTTTATGTTTTCACTCACTAGCATTAGGCTCATTTTGCAGTCTACACTTTCTCTGATGTATTGAAAACGGCCGCTGACACTTCATGACGAGTGATACTGTTTCCACAACGTTAATATTTTTTAATTCACTATAATCCTAATGCTTATCATGGTGTTAATGAGAGTAAATCTGCTTTATTAAAGATAAGAGGCAAAGAGAGCAGTACAGCCAGACAGATAACATATTCGTGGGAAGGAAGTGAGAAACACTGCTAAAAATGCTTGTGGTTTATAGAGGAGAACCTGCAGGAAGCATCTGATGAGCGCTGCACACGCGGTGGAGTGTGTACGTGTGAGACAGAGACCGTGTTCTCATTAGTGCAGTTCTCAAAGCTGGGTTTGTGTGTTATTAGAGGGCTACAGCCTGTAATGATGAGGGCTCTAATTAGTGACGGTCCTGTAGGCATGTATGTCTGGAGTGAGAGTGAGAGGGAAAGGAACCGAAGAAGACGGTTAAAACTGAAAATAGTAGTGTCTGGTCTTTTTGGGAAAAGGTCAGTGACAGCTTGCTCAATGCCAAAGGTTGACTGCTAGATTGAGTTTCTTCTAGCTAAGCTGGAGTGACAAAAACACACACACACACACACATCTGTGCTTAGCTTCCACTTTGCACTGAGCAATAAATATAATTACAATCACAAGGAGTAACGAGGAGTAAGATTTCAGTAACACTGGCTAAAGAGAGTTTAATTAATTGAGTTTAATTAAGTTTTGAAAATGGGAATAGATGAAATTTCACTATAGACCTATGCAGAGGAACTGAAATGCACCCAAGATGAACAATTTGATCTTGGGAACAATTAATAAATTGACTGAAACTGTGAGCAGGGGGAAAACTTTTTTTTTTATTTTTTATTTGATTTATATATTTTCGGTTTTCATTTAAATTTTAGATTTAGTCATTTCTTTTGTGCTTATATTTTAATGATCTCTATTTTTATTTCAGTTTAGTAACTTACATACTATTAGTATTTACTAATATTTTGAATAAGGTTTCATTTTAATTTTGTTTTACGTTTTAGTAGTTTATGTGCTTTGATCATTTTTATGTCATGGTTTTTTTATATTTCTATATGGCTTTACACGCATCTATCTATCTATCTATCTATCTATCTATCTATCTATTTTAATGATCTCTATTTTTATTTCAGTTTAGTAACTTACATACTATTAGTATTTACTAATATTTTGAATAAGGTTTCATTTTAATTTTGTTTTACGTTTTAGTAGTTTATGTGCTTTGATCATTTTTATGTCATGGTTTTTTTATATTTCTATATGGCTTTACACGCATCTATCTATCTATCTATCTATCTATCTATCTATCTATCTATCTATCTATCCATCCATCCCTATCCATCCATCCATCCATCCAGTTGTGGTGTGCCGTAGTGGAAAAATTATTTTTAAATTTTTTTTTGTAAATTTCAAAAACACTCTGAAACTGTGATACGGACTAGTTGCTTGTGTTTGATACCAGATTTGTGGGTAGATGGATTTACATTTCTCTGCATCCTTTTCTCCACAGCTGGCTATAACAATCTGGAGGTAGCAGAGTATTTACTTGAGCACGGGGCAGACGTCAACGCACAGGACAAAGGTGGCCTTATTCCCCTCCACAACGCGGCCTCGTATGGGGTGAGTGCAATTGCTGATTAAAAGGAGGAACATTTCATTGAGACTGGGACTACATGCAGACATCTGTTAAGCTGACACATGTCATGCCTCCGGTGTCATGTCAGGTCTGGCAGGAAATGGTGATGTGGGTACCTCAGACACACACAAACAGATGTAGATGCTGAATAATCCATGTATTTGCTCCTGAAAACGAAACACAGGGCTTTTTTTCTCCCAGAACAAATGTAAACCTTCACCTGAACCCCTCTGTGCTCTGATACAGCACTTTGTTTTCACTTCCTGTGAAAAATCAGAGTGTGACTGTATGTAAAATGTGTTTGGACATCTGTATTTGTTCTGCCAACAGAACCTTGGCTTATGCACTTTTAATGCGTCGCTGCACCTCATGCTTCTTCAGGGGGTTTCAGTTGCATTTTCACTTGCGAACAACCCAGATGCCGAGATGAAGCCGTTTGCGAGCCGCAACCCAGAGGAGCCTTAATCCACAAAGCACAGAACACTTCTAATACAGGATTTGACTCTTTCTGGAAATCAAATCAAGCGAATTCAGGGAAACCCATTACAGGTGATGGTAGTTGGAGGTATTTATCAGCGTCTGCCCTCTGGAGGTCTACAGGGATGTGATTAGACCATGCAGATGGATGGGAGCAGATTGCAGTTACATAAACATGCTGGATCAGAACTAGTCAGACTCCGGCCTTCGACCGCACTCACATACACTCTCTGTTGCCATCCAAGAAACAGGACCTCTGTGACGCGAGTTGTGAGATTCTTATTGGCTGTGACCGGAGTGGCAGGTTGCCCAGGCTTTGCTGATTGGCTAGAGGAGAGCTGGCGGCCGGCCAGCCGATGCTGGCTGACCTTGAGTGCGCCTCCCTCTGTTAATTTGCGGCCTTTTTGTGTAAAGGCTGTCAGCGCTCGGCAAACACAGCCAGCTGATCGCAGTTCCATACAGTCACTGCTACTGACGGAAGGACATCTCAGCCACACACACTGTGCACCACAACTCAAGAGTTGGCCAAAACCCAAGCTTGTTTTGCCCTCCCTCTCTATTGCTAATGAGAACGGTTCTCATATGCCATTTAAAGGGATAGTCAAAAATGAGAATTCTGTCGATATTTACTCATTCTCATGGTGTCATGGTCATTGTTATTTTTAACTAAAACTATAAAAAATGTGTTAATGGAAATAAAGCTGAAATATAAATATTATATGAAAATTAATTTAACTAAATAAAGATGATAAAACTGGAACAAAAACAAAAAATGAAGTAAAATATTTTAAAAAATTAATTTTTAAAATGGCAAAGCACAAAATTACTAAAAGTTAAACTAGTTAAACTCATTTTATTTTTTTAAATAAGAGCCTGTAAATTCTGTACTAACTGATTGTCTTTCCCTCTAGTCAGCTGTTAACTGCTGCCACCAGATTACTGAGAAAATGATTTGATCTTAAAGGGGTCATATGATGCTGCTAAAAATAACATTATTTTGTGTATTTGGTGTAATTAGAGCTGAGGCCGGGCTAGCGTGAGCTGAGGCCGGGCTAGAGTGAGCTGAGGCGGCGGGGTCGAGAACGACACGCCCGGCGGATCCGACGAATGAGCGGCAACCACATGGCTGGATTCCGCTTTGTCCACGGTGAAAGTTGATGTATTCCCTCAGCGACCAGCACGGATCA